TTGTTGTTGTTGTTGTTGTTGTTGGCCCTAGCATATATAATAATGATAGTTAAATACTAATCACATATTCAACAGGGGTAAACCCTTCAGCATAAGTTGTTATCAAAAAGTGCCCTGGGAAACTAAAAACAACAAAAAAAGATAACACTAAGAATAGATTCGAATGTACTTGGCATGTTGAGGTAAGAAAGCTAGTTAGGAAGAAGCCCAAATAAATCATCCGTTCAAAAGTTTTCCTCATCCATTCGGCAAAAATTTTCTTCAGTCATTCAGCCGTTAAATGTATCCATTTGAACGGTCTGTGGACCGGTTTGTTATCCGTTCACTCGCCGTGCGTTCAGCTGTTCGAACGGATACCGTAAGGAGCGCTTTCGCATGAGAGGTCACATATGTGGGCTGATTGGTAAACAATGATTATCGTGGATTTCTATTAAACAATTAGATTATGAGCTCAAGATTTCTATTGCGTGATAGTTGACAAGGGTGCAGCCCAAGTCAACTATCTGCACGCATAGAAATTGAGAGCGAATAATCTAATAATGTTTTAGTATAAACCTACTGGTCATTCAAAAGTTTATCAAAAATGATCTTATTCACAGACACCTCAAAAACGCAAAGAAGTGGCCATCATTTTGTTCACAGCTGCACACTGCTACGAGCGTCTGAATGGGGGTAACTCGATAACACTAAACACTTAAATTTTTGGCTGTAACACAGAACAGTTAAATTTTAGGTATTTTAACACTAACAGTACAAAATTCTCTGTGACAGTAAATTTTATCCGGAAGGAAACAAAAACGGCTCCAAAAAGGGCACTGTTATTTTGTTCAGAAAATCAAGAAGATTTCAGCCACTTTCCGACGATTCCCAATCTTTTCGGAAGATTTCCGAAGATTCCCGAAGACAGCCGAAGATGTAGAGAGACTACCAAAGATGTCCGAAGACTACCGAAGTTTTCCAAGCAGAATTCTGAAAATTTTCGAATATATTTTGATGCTGCCATTGCCGCCATGATGTTTCGACACTGACCAAGGGACCGTGAACTCCTGGCATGAGGTAGTTCCCCTGTGCTACCCAGGCTTCCCAGAATAGACAGAATACTGTTGCACATTGGGTCGAAAAAAGAGGCTACAGAACCTTTGAGAGGCTTTGAGCACGGTCTCAATGGTCATGAGTGATTTTATTACCGATTTTCGTAGAG